TTGCTGTGCGACACAGTAGTGTTGCGCTGCTGTGTCGCACAACAGTGTCGACGCTGCTGGGACCCAGCAATGTCGAGGCTGCTAAAAGTTTTTTGGGCGTTTCGGGTAGGTGGCGGATCTCTGTGTGTGAGTGAGCGGTGGTATGTTTTGAGCGGTGGTGGTGGTGGATCTGTGGGCGATGGTTGATTTCTTTTTTGTTTGTTTGTGACCTAGTTATTGAACCGTGGTTGCGGATCTGTGGGCGGTGGTTGTTTTGTATTTGTGTGTGTCCGTGACCTAGTTATTGAACCATGGTGATTTTTGTTTGGTATGTGACCTAGCTTTTTTGGTGTCTGTGACCTATATATTGAACTGTAGTGGTTTTTATAAGTCTGTGATCTAACCATTGAACCATTGTGAGTTTTTTTTTTGTTTCTATAACTTAGTTATTGAACTGTGATTGTAACTGAAAAGGAATTCGTGACCTACATATTTGAAAATACATGACCGACCAATAAAATAATTTGTGACCAACAAATTTTATTAACTGTGACTAATTAAAAATCTGTGACATATAAATTTTTTCATTTGTGACTTCAAAATAATTTGTGACCAAATAATTTGATAAGTTGTCACCAAAATTAAAATTTTAACTACTTAATAAGGTATCTTTGACCTTGGAATCGGAGCAACGGTCACCGGAAAATAGTTGTCGGAATTAAGCGTGGCCGGAGAACAGTCGTCGGTCGCCAGAGTAGTCGTCGGAGCGGTAGTGGTGTGGTGGGGTGGGTTAATCATATTATATTATAGTTAAATATTTAATTTCATAGATTAATTGTAAAATATAATTAATTAATGAAAAACCGTGAGTTTTGTAATTTTAAACTTTGGGGACTGATTTTTGATTTCGTTAAAGTAAATCCCTGAACCATGCATTTTTCCCGAAGATAAATTGGTATGTGGACTAATTGCAAATATTAGATTTAAGCTTGATCCATTTAAACTGGGTTAAAGTGGGTGTATATTGAATATGATAGCTAGTGGGCTAACTTTAAATTTGGGCCAAGCTATAATTCTTTTTTCAAAAAACTTGCAAACAAAATTCATTTTTGGGCCAAGGTTGCACTGGGCTAAAGCCGAGTGCAGCTACCCCCCACATCCGCCCCTACTTATGCTGTAGGAATCTTTATATTTTTCTCCATAATATTATAACTATATATTCAAAAAGGAAAAGAACTTCAATTGACCTCCACAATGTATATCACCTTCAAGCAGTGGCGAAGCCAACACTTGATGAGCAGACGTGGCAACCTATGCTGGCTCCACCAAAAGTTACAAGTTGGCTGGCAACGAGATGGCGTGAACTGTGTAGTGATGGTGGAGATAAGATTTTGGGCCTTTTTCTGAAAAATAGTGGACCTTTTGGATCTTATATTATAAGGAACAATATATTTATAAGGTGTTTACTTTACACCTTTTCAAAAATATAAAAACAAGTTTGAAAATTCACAAATTAGGTTTTTTAAATTTTTAATTAATAATTAATGAGTTATTAAATCAACTTATTATTAAATATTTAATTATAATTTAATATAATTACCCCACCCCACCTCCACCACCCCTACCGCTCCGGGGACTATTCCGGCTATCGTTCTAGTCACAACTCTTCTCCGACGATTGTTCCGACGACTGTTCCAATTCTGGAGACTATTTCGATGATTTTTCCGCCGCCACTNTGTTCTGCCACTTTTTAGGTCACAATTCAAAAAATTTCATAGGTCACAATTTGTTCATCGGTCATAACTTAAAAATTTAAAAGTCACAATTGGTTCATCGGTCACAATCACAAAATTTAAAAGTTACGTTACTTATTTTATGGTCACAAACATCAATTTATTGGTCACAAATTAATAATTTTTAGGTCACAAATTAGTAATTTTTAGGTCACATAGTTTGTACTGGTCACAGCTTATCGAATTCATTGGTCACAAATTGTTTACTGGTCACAAACAATCAAATCATTTGTGACCATCACCAAATCATTTGTGACCACCACTTCACCACTGCCTCCACCAGCGACGCCACCACCATTGCCGCATCTCAACCACCGTCGCCCGCAGAAACACACCTAAATCGCACTATCACCACCGCAGCGCATAAACCACCCAAACCACCACCCATAAGCCCAAACAACCAACATCATATCCGCCACCAACAGATACACCGCCAACAACAACAAACAGCAACAGCCTTCCATGCACATCACCCACTGCCATCCGCACAAAATAACCATGACCATCAATCCGCAATGCTCGATCCACAAGACACACCACGTCGCTGCACCGTTTACGACCATTTCACCACACCCACGCATGCACCCACCGTCGCACCCACCAAAAATAGATCTACATCAACTACCACCGCTACACCCACCACAAAAATAGATCTTCATCCTCCAACTCAACCATCACACAACCTCAGCCACACCACTCAATTTTAAATAAAAAAAGAAAAAAAAGGATAGACGATGGATTTGCGAAGAGAGGGAGAGGCGACGGATCGATTGGAAAACAGAACATGATTGGCGGTTGGATCAGTGAAGTTGCTGACGGAAAACGATGGTAGCAGTGTGGCAAGATCTCTGTAGCGACGGTGAAAACTACAGCGCAGGACTGTGTGTACTTCTACAGCGGCGGTGGCTCTTCGATGGTAGCGGCAAGATCTCTGTAGTCTCTGACAGAAGTATAGTAGATGTTAGAATGAATTTTAGGGTTGATTTATTTTAATTGGGATGAAAATAATATAATTAATATTCAATTAAATATTAAAACCTCATTTTTGAAAAGTTAAACTCGTGATATGATTTTTGAAAGTGGAAATCTAAAACCAAGGTAGGGTGTAATTTCCTCTATATTATATAGGTGGCCGAAAGGCCTTTTGTCAATATGTATTATATACTTGATTAAGAGTGTATTTGATTGATATTATTGAGGAAAAAATGTATTTTAAATAGTAATATGATGGGAAATGTGTGATTAAAAAGTAACGAAATGTTATTAATGTGATGAAAAATATTTATTTTATTGAAAAATGCGTGGTTGAAAATGAGTATTGAAAGAATATATTTTGAAAGAATATGTACCAAACATGGGCTAAATATTGCCTCCAATTGAATTCCCAAATCAACCACTTTGGGCAGTATCTAGAAATGGAAGGATAGCCCCCTAGGCATATCTCCAAGTGGTAAAAGGGGAAGGTGGGAAAACTCCAGTTTGTTTGAGGCTGTCGCGTCAAGGGTTCGAATCCTGAAATATAGATTTGGCCATTGGGTAAGTGCAAGTGTACAAACAGTCTTCCACCCTGTACTCTTGGAGGCATAACCTGCGATTTACCTCATTCATCAAGGCCCAGGGCGGGGCAGGTGGGGGGCCGCCAAGGATGCGGTTCATCCTTTTTTGTTTTTAGAAATGGAAGGATAAGGGGAAACGAAAGAGGTAACTATGCCCCTAGGGTTCCGATTCATCCTACAGATGAAGAACTCACACTTATTAAACAGTAAATAAGATCTTAGATGCAAATTTTACAAGTAAAGCCATTGGAGATGTTGATCTAAACAAGTGCCGTGGGATCTTCCATGTATATTTTGCAGACTTAAATCTTGTTTCTATGGCAGCTTCTACACATAAATACAGGTATTTTTTGTGTTTATATAGCTAGGATTTGGCCTCAAAAGAATTGAGAATGGAAAAAGTTGGGGTTTTCTTAAAGATGAAAGCTCTTCGATTGCTTATAGCATTAAGCCGTGTTTGGTTTGGTTAAAAAATAATTTTATATTAAATTTTGATAAAACTTGATAAAATATATAGTTGAAAAGTTAATTAAAATTGAGGACGCTATAAAATATATGTAGTTAAAAATGAATTTGGAGATAAATGAGTTTTAAGAAAATGGGACAAATATGGGCAAAATATATAACACAAAATGAGTTTAGGGAAAAATTGAGATCAGACATGAACTCAATATTATGCACCAACTCTTCTCGGGTCAACAATTTCTATTAGGGTAGACAAGGATTTGCTAATGAGCAAGTAAAAATCATGAAGCCAAATGAAAGCTGTAAAAATTTGTAATCATTAAGGTAAAAATGTAAAAACTCTTAACATCACAATCACTGTGTCATAGGGTTTTTGTTTTCTTAAAGATGCTAAGCATGGAAAGAACTAATGCTCATTTTGATCATTATTTAGGATTCACGGTCGTCGATATCAACGGCCAATGACCGCCCTAGCTCACCAAAAATTCTGGATCCGCCACTGCCTTCAAGCTAAAGTATTTGACAAGAAGAACTTCTTTTCAACATGGAAACGTTGAAATCCTTTGAACACTTATCCAAAAAACATAAATTTACCAATCTTTACTGTTGTAATTCATCCGTATGTCATTTTAGTACATGGTACTATAACAGATTATCTTCAAAAGGGATTGTTACAGAGGAAGAGCTCACCTTTTGATCTAATACAAACACAAACAAATGCTATATTATGAATCCCGCAAAAGTTTTTAAAAAAAATTCTAAGTACAATATCATTTCAAAGGGACAAATCTCTATGTGCCACTATAACGAACTTGTTTGAGTTTGAAATGATTTCGCTTGATAATTAATTTCAAAATGAAGTCTATGCTCATCGTAATTTTGATCATGAGCATTTATAAGAAGATATCAAATAGAAGAAAAAAATCTCATTAAAATTAAACATTGGATTGAAACTTCATATAATCTCATTGTAATTTGATCGCAACATAATACCTCAAACCATCTCGTCTAAAAGGCTATAATGATAGAGAAGAGACAAATTTATTGATTTAATTTTTGTCCTCGACAAGTTACACAAGGTTTCTCATCAGCAATGAAATAAATATATGTAGAAGAATAGAAATTCTATGTCTCAAGAATATCATTGCAGCTCAAAATGAATTCGACTGAACTCCCTTCCTTTATGAAAGATAAAGCAATCAAGGGCCTATTGAAACACAATTTTAGCACTCGAAGAAGCCCGAGAATATCCCATTATTTGAGATCTGATCTTCTCTCGTAAAAGCGAATCTCTTGGCTTGGAGAGACTGGTGCAAAGAAACAATTCTTGCAATACCTTCCCCTTTTTGAGTAAAAATTTCACGAGACTTATGTCATTTGCGCATTCTGCAAATCCATGAATCTTTACGACCTTTATGTGATGTAGAAAACACTTCAATGCTTCGGTTTGTGATTCCCAATATTTTTCTTCTCCCGAGCTTGACAAGTCCCACAAGTCCTTGTTCCATTGCTGCTATTGATGTGTAAATATAGCTATTGAGATGAACACAAAATGTAAAATATATTGAGTATATTTAGTTGAAATTATCACAGTTGGCACTCACTTTTCTTTCAGTGCTGCGATCGCCAACAATCTTGATAGTGATAGTGTGAATAGCAGGAGAAATCCTGAAAAGACTTGCCAATCCAGGGTTGTTATGTTTGTTGAATCCAGTATACAACTCCAAGGATTCAAGCTTATTGAACGGACACAACAATACTCCTGCAAAGCGATTATTCTTCGATAGAATCTGCAGCCAGGAACAAGTTAAAAACTATGTGTAAATTTGGTATCTAATTTGATCTTGATGATATACTGTATTATGCTATCACACATGGCTAGTTACTCTCATTTTGTAAATGTTGAGAGATTTTGATGAAATAAATAACCTGCAATCCTTTAACATACACCACAAGAGTGTGGGTCATTTGAGAATACTAAACTTGAAATTCGGTTACTCATTTGAGCCGTTCATTTAGCTTAATAAGTTCTAGTACCAACTTGAGAGTCAATAATTGTGATATGTTCTAATGTATGAAATGCAATGTTTGAGCTATAAACCTAGAATTGATGCAGTAAATGTACCTCAATACATTGGTTTTCCAGAATTAAACACCGGCAATGTGAAATTCCGGACATGAAGTTTGATATACTTCGAAGCTTAGCCTCACTCAGATCCTCATGGAGGAGGAAGAAACCTACAAAGACCTCGTGCAGCGAAGTTAAGTTGTGCAGAAAACTTTCCTCTGTGATCGTATTGTACGACCAGAAGATAATTTGGAGAGTCGGGGCGTCGATTTTCACCCAGCTACTAACGCTATAGGCATCAAAGCAACTTGAAACCCTTAATCTCTCAAGTTTGGGAGATGAAATTTCAAGATCTTCAAGCTGAAAACAACTTTCTAAGGCTAAATCCTCCAGAGCTCGACAAATAATTCTAAGATGTTTTAATCCAGAACAAGTTTCTAAATGTAATTTCTTAAGCAAAGGAAATGATGAATCTGTAAACAAACTCAGAAGGGATGGTTGATCATGTAAAATCACACGTGAAAGAGATAGGTTCGACAATGATCGAAAACCGGCCTTCATAATTTCTAAAGGCGGCAATCTAAATCCCGGACGCCATGATTTCAATCTGAAAACTCTTAATGACTCACTCGTTATAATGCTACGGGGAAAATTGAAATAGTCACATGTAGTGACCTCGATATCAAGTTCTTGAACATTATGCTTAATAGCGCGACGGATCAAGCCATTGAGTCGAGAAAAGCTCAGAAAAGCACAAATTCTAAGTACTCGTATATCAGTATGCTTCTCGCGAAGGCCTAAAACCTGATCAATGAATTCAGCTCCCTTCAATCTGAAAGAACTCTTTTTTTTACGCGCATTGGATGCATTCATAAGAATTTTGAGGGACGTGAAATCGAGGTCCGGAAATGAGTACCAGAGATTTCTCCAGCGCTTCGATAACACACTAGTTTGCGCGATGGATTTGATCGGTAGAAAAAAGAGAATTTGATGCAAAACATCGTCTGGAAGATCACTGATCCTGTCATCTTGTAGTTCATCAGATTTTAAGCTTTTTTTCGAAGCATCTAAAAGCTTTTTTCGCTTTGCAGATCTTGTCTCCATTCAATTGATGTATTCTATGATGTTACTGGATCAGTTTTGTTGAAAATTATGTTGTGAGGTTGTTAGTATTAGGAGTTTGAAATTTTCAAATAATTCCGCTGATAATACGAGAATGTTGTTCAGTTTGTTTTGAGTTGAAACAATTTTTGAAATAAGATTTGAAGAGTTTCGAGCTTTTCGAATATAAAAATATGTCAATGAAAACAAATATAATTATTTAACTGCTCATGTCCTAATTGGTCTCGTCGAGGAAGCAAAATATGATTTTATACAATAAAGAACACAACTTTATTTAATTACACTAATAAAATATGCAACAGCGACAAGAGATTTACATCAATAACATTCCATCCCGTCTCGCATTGCACCACTTCGAAGGGTCCTGAACCCAAGCTCGAATGTTTTTTTATTTTTAATGTTAATTTGTATTTATGAAAATATTAAAAATAAATAAATTATTAAACAAAATTGTAAATGGAAATATTTTATAATGTACAATGTTGGCTTCTAAGGCATCCCTTTAGTCTTGCAGATTGGAATCGGAAGGAAAAGTTTATGTATCCGATCTTTCTACTCATGGCACTTCAAAAACTTTTTAAAGGTCCTACTGTACTCGCACATTTATACACTCGGTTCTAATCTAAGTCTAACCATGGTAAGATATTCAACTATCACTTCTTTATTGTTTCTTTTTCACGCTAGCTCATAGCCGAGCTAATGCTAGTAATAGGTAAGTCTAAAAAGTGGCATCATATGGCTTCGGTAAAGATCATTCTATTACTTCAATGTTAACACTTTTGTTTGCTTATAGCATCTAATGCACATGACTTGATAATATTTTGAATGAGAATTTAGTTATTTATTTATTTTTTAAATGTACATAACAACTCCTCTAGATTACATAATTTGAAGGAACTCCTCTTTGCATTAATACGTATCCAATGGAAGCTAGATCTTCATCTTCGTTTAAAGAGTCTCGATAGTGTCTAGTTTGAAATTCCAAAATAAAAATTGAAATGTAGATGAACTAAACGACTAGATCTTTGCTTCTCAATAATTTATTTGAGATAACATAATGATCATTGGGCATCATTTCATTCCAATTGCAATAAATTGAAATTCTTTGTGGACATGCTACATTTGTGATTCTGTGATGCGAACTCACGTAGCAATTGAAGTTACGAAACTCAATATAGATTAGATTAAACTCAAGAAAGTCAAGAATCAACGTCCGAAAGTTTGATCCAATAAATTGTTAAACCAAAGAATCATGACAATCGCCAACAATATCTTGATCTCGTGCTCGATCACAAAACTTATGAACCTCACTTAATTATTGAACACTACAAGAATTTAATTCTTGATAAGTTCGAAATTAATTCAATGAAAAAAAGTAGAAAGCAATATGCCTTACAATAATATCTCTCAAATTATGTGTTTTTACAATGAAAAGAATAATCATATTTATATGGAATCCATAAAATTTAGTTAAAAATGAAATTACATCTAAAAAATATAAAAAAAAGATACCATACAAGAGTTTTAACTAAACTAGGATTTTAGGCGAAATTCGGAAAAAATGCGGCAAGAATTGTGCTATGCGGCTGCATAAGTTTATTGCACACGGTCACATAGGTGAGTCTTCTGCCCTCACGTTGGTCGCGGTATGAATGCATGCAACCGCATGCCTTTTAATACTATGCGGTCGCATAGTTAACATTCGCAGCTCCATTGTTTCTTACTTGAACCAAGTTAATCCAACTTGCTCCGTCTTCCAAGCCCAATATGAAATTTGTCATTTTGTTGTTGTGATACATGTTTCATCCATCATAGTATAAAACTTTTGTATAAAACACAATGTATCTTAGTATCTCACAACAAAAGATGTAAGTTATGCATACAACATGCCATGGAACCTGCGTTACTTCATGCAATTGTGTACTAACTCACATACGAAAATATTCACACCTATGTATATATGTCATTGCGTTTACATTTTTATAAGAGACAATGTAACTTATGGAATGAAACAAGTTGCCAAATGATGTAATTTCTAGCATTTTTCACTGCTTGATGTAAATAAATCTTTGCACCACTGTGTAGGAATATGATGTAAGTTGTTGAATTCGCCATTTGAGAAAGCAACTGCAACATGTTGATGTGTAACATATGAAGAAACTTACGGAATAAAATAGGATACGAAACCATGTTACTCTGCATTTTGCTACTATTTTAACATTTAAGAAATAAACAAGAAGCTATCAAAATTGTTTATCATCTTGTTGAATTAATGGTTTGACGTGGTGTGTTTGAAGGCATCTCTCTGTACTTCATGTGGAGTTTGGGAGCAATTAATTGAAATCCTGTACATATACATTACACGATGACGATGTTGTACTCATCTTTGTCGGTAATTTGACAAATTTGATCTCCTGTATTTTTGCCTTAATTACACAAATTTGTAATCATTCTCAATTTGACCGATTACTACGGAATTATTCAAAAGATTTTAATAATTTGACAATTAACGTGGAATAAAATCTTTGTAAAAGTTTCTTCTTTTTTTTTTTTGCCAACTCATAGGAGGCTTAGTCTTTAGAACAGTCCAGACGGGCCATTGGCAAAATCCGACACTGTGAGGTGCATAATAACCCTATAATATAACCGGTGGCTATTTGCTTCATCATAATATAATCAATGTCGGACTTCCTCCCTCCAGAACTCGATCATAAATCGAAATCCTCTCCGTAAAATCGTTGCTTTGTTTAACCACAGTCATCACCAGTTCCAAATTCATCTTTTCAAACCTTTCAAACAGTGCAAGCAAAGAAGAAAACACACTTATCTTACGGCGTTACACATGCATTAAAGGTGGTTTGAGAGATTACTACACATTGATTAAAGATGCCTAGAACCAAACGTTAGACCTCCGCTCTTACTTCGAACTAAGTTTTCCCTTCAAATTCCAATCTGGGCATGTCTGAATACTGTAAACGCCTTGATATGCTTGGAACCCTAGTATTCAAAAGCATGTTGTGTTACCGACTCCCACCATTAACCCCGAAAAGGTCCACCATCGTGTGACCAACCACCACGTCAAGGTTGTGAGAATTGTGCATTTTGAAAATCATTCTGCAGAGGCAGAGATTTATTCGCTAAATTTGGGCACATGGCAAAGGCTAAACTTTCATTGTCGCTACATTTTTTTTAAGGATAGGTGGTGGTCAAACTTCTTAAAAGGTTCTGTGCATCCGATTTAGGTCTTTGATGTTTCGAATAATTTTCAAGTTGGTCCTTAATTTTTATTTTGTTCTAAATCAGTGAATTTTGCTGCTCAACCGTTCCAATCTTGTGACTCTATTACTGAGGCAAATCTCATTGCAATGCAAGCCTTAATCATGCTAAAAACAAAATGACGTAACCCAAATTCTGTTTTTGTCTACTCTAAATATTAAAATCAATTAGAATTAAATTGGAATTTATCACTTCGACAATTCCTTATTTGCATGATTTAGCTTCTATGACAATAAAATTAAACATTCAATTGGCAACCTTTGGTAATAGAATACATTAGGGATTTGACGATAATCTAACCAATAAAATGCTCAATATCGTATAAAGTTGATGTTGCTTCACTCGTTTGCCTTCTTCAATCAATCATATTTCTTTCCAGAGAATGAAAATTCAATTTACTAAGGCACATGCGTGTGACTTACCACATGATGTGAGATTGTTGTGCTTACGGGTATACAAGTGATTATTGTAGTTTGAAAGTAAAGAGAATGCTGAATACGAGGTATTTTATTTAATATGTATTGACTAGACTAGTCTTATCACATTTGTAGTGTTTGATTAACTTATCAAAAGAGTAAAATTCCATTCTTGAGGCTGCGAGGTTGCCATGCTTGGCACGGTGAGTTGTTAGCTAAAAGAGAATTGTTAAGAAAACTATAGTGACTAATATGAAACAAAATTAACTTCAACAACAAAGTTGAAATTTTGCTGCAACCTTAGGGACCAACTAAAGTGCTTAACCAGCAACAACAAAACTGTATTCTGTTCCATTTGGTTGCATATTTATTTGTCACTAATACTCAAAATCCATCACATTTGACAGTATAGAAAGAACATTCATTCCATTTATATTCTTCGGCTACACATTTTTCTTTTATATCTACTTGTGCTTTACTTTTTTCTTAGTTCTTTCATCGTCGTCTTATTTTCTCTCTCTTCTCTATCAAGATTAATACATTTTGGGTTTCTGTTTTTGTTCATTGATTCTCTAAGAATATGCTTGAAGGTGTATTAATGGCTGACATTAGTCATCCTCCCATGGATCAACTTCAGGACCTTGAATATTGCATTGATTCTAATCCTCCACGGCGTATGTCTCTTGTTGTAGAACAAACATAGAGGTGTCAATCCCGGTGGTCCGGGCCGGGTCGGCCCGTCAACATGTGAGCCCGGTAACGGCCCGCGTGAAAAAAAGCCCGTCCGCTGCGGGTTCCGGGCCGGTTACGGGTCGGCCCACAATTTTGGACTACAACCCAGGCCCGCCCGCTGACCCATCCGGGTCGAGCATTTCTGGTCACGGGTCGCGCGGGTCGCGGTTCGTTCCGATTTTGGCCCGTATGATTGTATAAATAAAATTATAAAAATATAGAATTTTTCATATTTATAACAAAAAATATTTTTTTTTATTAAATGTAAACTAAGAATTGAACAAAATGATAAATTCATAATTATATCAAGAAATTTTTACATAGAATTCAAATTTAATGTTACATGAATTATTTATAACTTTGCAAACTTCTACAACATTATCATCTTCTAAATTTATTGGAGAGCAACTATTATTGAAAATAGGATTTT